CTATGTGATGCCCTCACCTGAAACTGAATCCTGGCCTGGGTGTTTAAGACCCAGCAGGCTCTCCCCACCTGAGACAGCAATTATGCTGTCCAGGAAAAGTGTTGCAAAATGAAGCAGAGAAATTGTTCTGGATGGAGCTTAAGATATAACCAAAAAAAGCCCAGTTCAAGGAGCTTCCCTCAGCCCAGGATCATTATCTCAGGTGAGATGGCTGAGCCTCCACCCCAGTCAACAGAACCAGAGGGCTCTGGCTCCACCACAGCCAGAGACATTTCTCTCCTTTCAGCCCATTCTTTATCACTTTAAACCTTGTGCCAACACAAAACATGTCCATCCAACTTCTGATCCCATGCAGACCTGATTTCCATGCCTACCTGGGGTAGGCAAAGAACAACTACAGTTTGTGGTCCTGTTGTTGATGAATATCCCACCCCACCAAAGACCACCTGAAAACTGGGAGCAAGAAGGGAAATTTGCTCTAGCAATCACATCCATAACTAGAGTGGGATTTTCTACAGTATTTTGGAATGTCTGAGACCAAGTGGCTCATGAGAAGTTCCATGGCCTTGAGGTGGGTGCTTCTAATTCACTTACCCACTTCTGGAAATCCTCCCCTTATAGTACTGATGTTAGCAGGTGGCACCAGTTCTGAACTTCACATCTTTGGGTTTCAAAGCAATTTGAAGGATGAGAGTCATTTTAGGTTTTATAGGTGAGAAAAAGCAGACAAAAATCAAGTAAGAGTTTTGCTCAAGGTTGAAAGAGGTTTCTCGGAGAAAACATCACAGGAAAGGTATTGGAATGGTTGGAGATGGTCCAGAGAAAGGCTATGGAGATGATGGGAGAGCTGGAGCTGGAGACAGGCTAGGAGAGTCAGGGTGTTCAGCCTGGAGAAGAGAAGGCTCCAGGGAGAACTCAGAGCACCTTCCAGTGCCTGAAGGGGCTCCAGGAGAGCTGGGGAGGGACTTGGGACAAGGGCAGGGAGGGATGGGATGAGGGGGAGATGGTTTTAAGCTGAAAGAGGGTGGATTTAGGTTAGATGTCAGGAAGGAATTCTTCACCATGAGGGTAGTAAGGTTGCTCTGGGAGGTTGTGGCTGCCCCATCCCTGGAGGTGTTCAAGGGCAGGTTGGATGGAGCTTGGGGTAACCTGGTCTAGTGTGGGGTGTCCCTGCTCAGAGCAGGGAGGTTGGAACCTGATGATTTTTAAGGTCCCTTCCAACCCAAACCATTCTACAACTGTCTGACTCTATGATTTTATCTTAGCAGCAGCAGGGGGAAACAAATCCTGGATTTCTGTGAATTCTCATTCAGACCAAAACACTTTCACCTCAACCTGGCACATCTCTGGTCACGAGGTGTCCAACTAAAGAATGTTGTGGGTTTGGTTGTGTTTTTTTCTCTACCTGAAAACGTTGAATCTGCAAAGAAGGTTGAAACTCACCCGGTACTGAGAGCAGAAGAAAACTGCAGCCAACCTCCCCACACTCCAGAAAGATCAGATATCTGAAGGTAAGAAGTAAATGGGGAGTGGTTTGGTCCTTCACAAAGATTTAAGTCATTCAAGGTGGCAGCAAAGTCGTGGAAGAATTGAAATCCCCTTTCAAAATTTCCCTTTAGAGACACCATCATTAATTCAAATGCCAAAGGGAAGAGGTCCCAGAGGTCCCATCACAACTACTCCTGGTAAGCACAAACCCAAGCCTCATGTTAAGGGTTTAAATTATAAACAACTGGTGTTGGAGTAGAAGTTATTAAAAATGTTCTCTGTTCAAGACTGGGTGAACTGGGAGTGACACTTGAAATCTTAAGGGACCAAATATTTTAATAGATTTGGGGGGTTTTTAAAGGACCATCTAAACATGGAATTTTATCCATTCCTATTTTGAGCCAGATGATTTCTGAAACACCCCAATATTCCCATGTTGTTCTGAGGACATTTAGGAGATGCAGAATCTGATACAAAAATCCTCCTCAGACACGAGAAAATTGGTTATTGAGGTCTAAGCCACTAATGATATTTCACCTCTGTTTGGTGCAGTGACTTCTCGAGGGCTGGTGGGGTGGGAAGGGCAGTGGTGGAACTGGAAGAACTGTGACTGGGTTTGATTCAGGAGACATTCTGGATGAGGTGTCAGTGCTGGGTGAGGTGTCTCAAAAGTCCATTCCAATTTTTGGAGGCCTAAGGGGAAGTAAGACCTGACTTTGGGCCTGTCTCCATGAGCAATACCAGCATCTTCAGCCAGGACAAGGAGGTGTGAAGCCACCAGCTGTGAGCCCCTCCTGGAGCCAGGTTCTCACTGTGAGTGTTCCTCAAAACCAAAATGCTATTTCTTTTTGGTTTGGTTTTCTCCTGTGCCCACTAGGCTGAAACACTAGAAAGAGAAAGTCACCCAGCTGTGATTTTCCTTGCCAGAGCTGGGGAAAAAAATTCACAGGGAAGGATCATAACATACTCATCCAGCTTCTGATCCTCTTTCTCTGAACACCTATTTTGGGCTGGTGTCAGAAATAGACACCCCTGGCCTGAGTCCTCTCCAACCTCAGAGCTGTTCTCAGATTCTTCCACATGGAGCTGCCCTCTTGGAGGAGCAGGGTGGGAGCACAGACCTTCACCCCACGGCCAAGCTGGGTGAGGCAGAAAAATGTTGGCAAGCTCTGCTGGGTGATCTTTTTTTATACTCTTGCTTCAGGAGAACCTCTGGCCCTTTCCTGCAGTTGCTCACTCACATCTCTACAAATACTCTTGTCTGACATTATTTTTTTGCACCAGGATGCTGGGAGGGGAAGCTGGATTTCTGGAAGTTCTCCCCTGGGAGGAGAAGCTGGATTTCTGGTTGTTCTCCCCAGGAGGAGAAGCTGGATTTCTAGAAGTTCTCCTCTAATTGTATCATTATACCCCCTGTAAATGAATATAATACGAGGGTGTCCAAATAAAATGAAGAAACATCCTCTGCATCAATGAAATCCTCCCAGGAATCATCATCTGGGCACTTCCCATTTGCCACTGAACATCAGACTTGCCCTATTTGCATATCTGGCTAATTTCCTGTCACCAGTAGTGGAAGCAAATGAACCCTTTTCATGTTTCTTTTCCCAAAGTGAAAGGATCCTTGAAGTTCTTGAGGTGCCATCAAAGACATTTCAGCTGCTGAACTTTAACTGAAGCCTTGACAAAGACCTTGACTTTTACTGCTTCAGATAATCCTAGAGACCAGATGTGGAGGGCTTAATCATAATTAAGAATGGCATAATTAGCTTCTCATGTGAACACCCTGTGTTCTTACACAGTGTATGGGAACCCAAAGGTAGAACCAGAGCACAAGGACACGGTTCATTTGTGAATATTCATGTTTTCTCATTCCTCCCTTATTTGCTGTGGAGAAGGACTTTCTTAAGAATAAAAATAGTCTTAATTTTTGTTTTCCTTAAGGAAAATTCAAATAGATCATTAACGGGGGATTTTAATTGCTCACAATGCAACCAGGGTAGATTTTAATCTGCCTTTTGTGTGGTGCTGTCAGGTATGAAAACGTGCAAGAGGAAAGAGATTGTGAATGATGCATCTGTCTGCTTTCAAATCAGAGAATCAGAGAAGCATGGAATGGTTTGGGTTGGAAGGGACCTAGAAGATCATCCAGTTCCAACCCTCCTGCATGGGCAGGGACACCTCCCACCAGCCCAGGCTGCTCCAAGCCCCATCCAACCTGCCCTTCAACACTGCCAGGGATGGGGCAGCCACAGCTTCCCTGGGCAACCTGGGCCAGGGTCTCACCACCCTCACAGGGAAGAATTACTTCCTAATCTAATTTTACCCCTGAACCCACTAATTCCTCTCAAATCCTCCTTTCCCACCTGCTACCCATCCTTTAAAGACTTGGTGTTCTTTGTCTCAGGGAGCTGCACTTTTCAGACTGAAAAACCTCCCTTATATGATTTAGTTCTTCAGGCAGATCTTCAAGAGGGAGGGATGGGGCAAGGAGGAGATTCAGGCCCTCCTGGATGTTTGCCAAGGATATATCTGGACTAACGTGCCTGGAACCAGGAACATCTCCAGCTGGCAGGGCAGGCTGAGCATGCAGGAGCCAGGTTTCATTTTACTAACAAGCAGGGTTGCTTCAAGATCCAAGAAATGAATCCTCCCCAGGTCCATTCCCCAGAGGAGCTTCAGCCATCAGACATGGCTTGATGCAATCAATTCTGGGTGCCACCTTCAGAGGAACCTTTGGTGCTACAAGAACCCCAGTTATTTTTAAAAGGCAAACAGAGAAAATGAAGCTGCCAGTCCCAGCTGTGGGTTTAAATAGAAAATGTCATTGAAGATGATGGATCAACCATCCATTTATTCCTTAGCAGAACCAATGTCAGACCAACTGAAGCCCTTGGGAGCAGCATAGAAGAGTTTTTATCTCACTATACTCGTGGGGAAGCTCTTCTTTTGTGCCACACTTGGGGCAAAATGACCTTAGGAATTCTGTAGTTCAGCCCTTTGATACTGAAGTGCTCAGAGGGGTAAAAAGGAATCACCCATTTTCCTGTTAGATACAGAAAATTAGGGACTTGAATCCTGACTCTGCAGAAACCAAGTGGTTCAGACACACCTGTGACACAATGTTCATCTCAGAGAAGATATCTGGGAGGATGAGGTCAGAGCCATGGAACAGACAATGAAAAACTACTGGACATGATGCTCAGGGAGGTTGTGGAAGCCCCTTCCCTGGAGGTGTTGAAGGGCAGGTTGGATGGGGCTTGGAGCAACCTGGGCTGGTGGGAGGTGTCCCTGCCCATGCAGGGGGGTTGGAACTGGATGATCTTTAAGGGCCCTTCCAACCCAAACCATTCCATGGTTCTATGAAAATCAGAGAGCTACACCCTGACAGAGAAGAAGACAGTGGCTCACTTCATAGGAATGACACACACAAGCACTTGGGTCCTCACCATTCCTACCTTCTTTTTTTACTCTTAGTTTAAACGAAGACTGAAATTCCAGAACATCCAAGTTTATTGCACATAGTTTATGACCCCCCCTTTAACAGGCTGAATTCCAAAGGAAACAAGAACTTTCCCTCGGAGTCTCCTGCAAGCCTCCTTCACCTCCTTGTTCCTCAGGCTGTAGATCAAGGGGTTCAGCATGGGGATCACCATGGTGTAGACAACAGACACCCCTTTGTCCTGGTCCAGGGAGTAGGCAGAGGTGGGCCTGAGGTACATGAAGACCATGGTCCCATAAAACACTGAGACTGATGTCAGATGTGAGGCACAGGTGGAGAAAGCTCTGTGCCTGCCCTCTGAGGAGGGGATCCTGAGGACAGTGGTGAGGATGTAGCCATAGGAGACAACAATGAAGGCTAAAGTGTTGAGGGCAATGAAAGCAGCGATGGTGAAGAGGAGGCGTTCGTGGGCAGTCGTGCTGGAGCAGGAGAGTTTCAGGAGAGGAGGGATGTCACAGAAGAAGTGATTGAGGAGGTGAGGGCCACAGAAGGGTAAGCTGAACACGCTGCTGACCAGCACCAGTTGACTCACAGAAGCCATCAGGTAGGATCCCAGAGCCAGGTGGACACAGACCTTTGGTGACATGGTGGTGACGTAGAGCAGGGGGTGGCAAATGGCCACGTAGCGGTCGTAGGCCATGGCAGCCAGCAGGTAGCACTCTGTGATGATGCAGACCCCACAGAAGTACATCTGGGCTGCACACCCTGGCAGGGAGATGGCTTTCCTCTCCTCAAAGAAGCTTACTAGCATCTTGGGAGCAACTGCTGAGGAATTCCCCAGGTCTACCAGGGAGAGGTGGCAGAGGAAGAAGTACATGGGGGTGTGGAGGCGAGAGTCGAGCCTGATTAACACGATCATGCCCAGGTTCCCCACCAAGGAGGTGACACAGATCAGGAGGAACAGCACAAAGAGCACCAGCTGCAGCTCCCAAACATCTGTGATTCCCAGGAGAAGGAACTCATCAACCCTCGTCTCGTTTCTTTTGGCCATTCCCTCCATGAAGCTGAACCTTTCAGAGGGAGAAAAACAACCCAAAGGACACAAGTTACAACTCGGAGTAGAAGAATCAGTCAAAATGATGCTGGGAATGTTGGGCTGGAATCTAGTAAAAGAAAACTGGAAGCTGCTTTATTTTAATGGAAACCTAAAGTTCAATATTAAATCCATTGAACACTTCTGTAATTCACAGTCTCAAGGCAGGATTACTTTTGATCCATTGCTAAGGTTCTTCCAGGAAAGAGGAAGAACTTGTTCTTAATTCCAATGTTGTTTTTCATTCCTATTTTCTGCTTAGTTCTAGGGTTAATTTTCCTCAAATGTGTGTCTGTGTCACAGAGGAACCACAGGATGATTCTTGTTATCTGCTCTCATCTGTTGTAATTAGGGGAGTAATAAGGTGCTCTCAGCTTCTAAGATGATCCTTAAACTGGCCAGTGAAGTTCTGAGAAGTCCTGACAGGAAGATGCCCCCCAATTTTTTTAAAAACTTGTTATTCTAGATGGATTTTCTTTCATTTCAAAAAGCAATGACATTTTATTTGCTGCTTCCAAACATAATTCAAAGGAGAAGACCAGGGGCAGGTAGTCATGGATCTTCCCCTGTGTCCCTGAACCTGTCTGTGCTAAAGGCAGGAGGGAATCTGGAATTCTGTCCTGACAAAACCACCCCTGTTTTGCCCAAGGTCAAGAAAGGAGTCGTGGATGAATGGAAGAAACACAGGAGCTGACACTGGAGACTGAATCCATCTTGCCTAATATTGGCAGGATTTGAGGTGGCCCTTCAAGGCTTCATTTAAAGCCATGGAACAGAAGGAGACACTTGAAGGCAACATTCAGGTGAGCTCCTTCAAATATCTGCTTGCTTTGGGGTGAAGGGAATTGCCTCTTGGAGGTGCCAGGTTCTCATCACCTCTTAGAAATCATTAAACTGTAGAGTCAGTCTCTGAAGGGGATCATCTTTAAGCAGACAAATCAGACTTTAAAAACATGTTAAAGAACAGCTTGTCCATGGGTGAACCAAAGCAAAACCCACTAGAACCTCATCATTACCTTCTCCCCTTCTCTCACAACACTGATTTCCACAAAACCACCTCTCTTATTTTTCAGGCTCCAATCTTCTTTGGACACTTCTGTTCAGACTCCTGTAGAAAATACACCTGCAATTAACAGTTCTTATTAAATGAATGCCTGAGCTGCCCAAGTGGAGCTTCTTAAACTGCATGACTGAAACATCTTTGAAGCTGTTATTTGCATGAAGAGAAATTCAGAGTGAACTTCCAGACAGTTCAACTGATGAGCAGCAACTTGCAGAGCCCAACACCTTGACTGACCATCATCTTCTGGGCTGCAGGAAATTCTAGACAATTGGGACTATTTGTAGGGACCAAAAATACTGTAGAATACTGACCTGAATGTCATTTGTCACCCTAAGCACAAACTTCCAGGAGCAAGAGTCCAAAAAGCTCAGCATCTTAGGAAAAGGAGCCAGGTGGACATTCCCAAGGACTTGTTCTCCTGTTTTCCAAAATAAGAATCCAGCTCAAGTTAAAACAGTTTCCCTCCCTGGCTGCATTGGTTGTAGATGTTAAGCTTATCATTCTTTACATGCAAATCCATTAATTATTATCATTTATTGTTGTGTACATGAGCATTGGCTGCAATTCTGGGCAAGATTTCAACCCCAGAGTAAAGAGAGAGAATAAAATAGGGACACAATTAACAAGCTGCCCACTTTCTATCATCTCAGGCTGTGGGTTTGTGTCCTACCTTGGAGACTTGAACATCAAAAATGAGGCTTCTTTTTTTCTACCTCAGGAACAAATGGTGCTGGAAAGCTGGACACAGAGGGTGGGAAGCTCTGAGGGCAGGATCAGGAAAGCTGGTGGGATATTTCTGCTGCTCCCTGGCTCCAGAGGAGGTGGTGTTGGAGTCATCAAGGGAATGACAAGGTCTTCACAACCAACCCTTCCCCATCAACTTCTCTTTAAGTGCTGTTGTGTCCCAGAGGGACCCCAGGGAGTGATGCAAGGGCTGCAACCTGCTCAGGTCTTTGGCTCATTAATACTGAGGGAAAAGATGGAACAATCAGGGAAAAAAAACAACAACCCCCAAACCTCCAGAGAATCAGCAGAGGATTCATGTTCTTCTCCAGGTAACGTGGTCATTTATTGTGACAGGAAGTCACAAAGCTTGCTTTGTGGGGTGGTTTTACATGGGTGACATTTTCTCTCTGGCCACAGGTCATGCAATTCTTTGGGTTGGAAAAGACCTTTCAGATCATCAGGTCCAACCCTTAACCCTGCTCTGCTCCCACCAGGCATCCTGTTCTCACCCTGTGCCTTTACCTTAAAGATTATCCTGCTTCCAAGAGTTTTTCCACGCTCTGTTTCTGCCTCCACACCACAGGCCCTTGTATCCCTTCTGCCATAATTGCTTTTTGCTTGTTTGTTTTTTCTTTAATTTCTGCTGAACTGTGTCAGGAAATGCTTGTTGGTGGCTCTGGCCTTGGCAGAGCTAAAAACCAGTCTGGATTCAGCATAAACAAATATGAATGATATCCTGTCTGAATACCCTGCTGGGCCTCTGCTTTGGCTCCTGTCCTTTCAGCCCTGGCCCTTTCTCCTGCTGGTTTTCCACATGCTGGTGATGTTGATCTTCTAGTTGCCCAGTTCTTGCCAATCCACTCTGTGGATAAAACTTCAGCCTTCCTCATCTTTGGAAGCCCAGGAGATGCTCCCCCTGGGAACCTGTTCCTGCAGGGTGATGGTGGGGGAATGGCAGCTGCCACCCTGCCAGGCAGGAGGGGCAACACGAGGGACAGGACTTGCAGGCAGAGGTGCAGCACTCACAGCATCACTGGGTCATAGAATTATAGAATCCTAGGGGTTGGAAGGGACCTCAAAAGAT